TTATCACTGGCTGAAACGTGGGAAAGGTCCATAGCCAAATCCTGACCATGGCTGCAGTGCATCACCAAGGGTACCCGCTCAGGGATTCACTGTACTGGGATGAAACAGAGTGCCTCAACTACTATGGGATGTTGTCTCTCCATGAAGTCTTTGAAGTAGTTGGTTCTCAGCTGACAGAGACTGACATTGAAGTCCTGTCATTCCTTCTGAATGAAACTTGCTCCGCGACACATCCTCTCGATCCCGCAAGCTGGACAGTTGAACCCCGTGAGGACAATCCAGATGATCCAGGTGTGGCCCCAAGTCCACAGCTGCTAAAAGCATGGCAGCAATTAAAGCCTACGGGGTCACAGCAGCCCTTTTTGGACCCAAAACCCAAGAGTGGCCTTGAGCTGTTGCTACAGCTCGAGAGGAAAGGATACCTTAGTGATGGAAATCTGGCACCACTACTACAACTTCTAAGAGTCCTTACCCGTCATGACCTGCTACCCTTAGTGTCCCACAAGAAAAGGAGGACAGGTGAGGATCTTGAGATTATGTCCTGCTGTAGTTGATCTCAAATAGTTTGCCATTATGTGTTGTGTGTTTTTTATGCTTTTCAGTTTCTCCAGAGAGAATTGGACAGAGGTATGAGATAGAAAGCACAGAGTCTGTGTGTACTTCTGGAATAAGTAGCAGCTGCAGGGAGACAGAAACTCCTCTTACATCTTTCGCACATCAATTAGAAACTGGTAAGTTTACTGCTCTTTAGTATTTGGTCAAACTGAAGTACGTGATGATGATTTGAAAACGTGTGTGTGTGTGTGTGTGTGTGTACCAGATTTTTTGTGGTTCAGAATTGGCCTTCTTTAGCCTGATTGACTTTGCTTATATGCAAAATATAAATTAAGGCATGGAAGCTGCTACTTTTCCCCCCCACATAAATCGTTGCCTTTTGTGACTATTATATATGTCAGTGATTATTACCCTAATTAATATAATAATATTTAAAAAATAATTTTTGGTGGTTAAAACCTTTTCTCTTCTTTTTTTTTTTGATCGGTGTCTTGTGTGGGGAAGAATGCTGTGTACACACCATGATCTTAACAGGGATTTTTCTTGTTGAAAGTTGTGATCAAATATCAGCAGTAAAATTTTGATGAAAAGCTAAAAATAGTCCTTTGCTGTCATTTTTGTCTTGCATCCCTGAACTCAGTCAATATGTTTTCTGTCAGGTATTTACACTCCTGTGGCTGGGCCATGTGCAAGTAGGCGGAGGAAGAAGAGGGGAAATGGCTGGAGCCGTAAGTCCAAGAAAACAAGCAGGCAAAGTCATCCTCTGCCTCCACCACCAGCGCCACAAAAAGTGTCCTGTGGTAAGTGCAACTCATGCATTTTCAAAGTGTCTTTCTTTTTATTTATTTTTTGGTTTTTTCTCTTGTCTTCTGTTGTACCTTCATCCTGCTATTTACCCCTGCTGCTCATTTTTCCTTCTTTAAACGGACGAGAATATAATTTTCAGCCTATTAACACCTCCCTGGCATCATCATATTTCCTGTTTAGTTTCTTCAATTCTGATGTTGTTTATCTATGCTAAATCTTGAATGCCAAAATGTTATTTATTTTTTTTTCCGTTGTCACACCAAAATGCATAAAAGCCCCAAGTTCATGCTTAAGAACATTCGTGTTTAAAAGCTAGCATACAATTTAACATGTTATTTGTAGACTTAGGAGAAACGGACAAATTAAATAGCAGTAGGGATGGTAATTGATAAGAATTTAGTAATTCCGATTTCTTTATCGATTTTGCTTATTGATTCGGCTCCTTATCGATTTCTCATTGCCTCCACTTTGAGAGTTGCCAGCACTTCTAAGCAGCATATCAAATACATGCAAATTAATTGCGTACGTAATTAACTAGGTGGTGAAATGTTTGTGCATGTTGGAGGCATTTCCCCTCTTTGTTGTGATCAGTGTTGGGGTCACTACTCAAAAAAATAAATTAAAAAACTTGTTGCACATATTTCACAGAACACATTTCTTAAAAGTAATGCAGTACGTTATTTAATTACTTCCAGGAGAAAGACATTTGTTATACTACTTGTTACATTACTTTGGTGTTACTCTGTAAAATGATCTGAAACTCACCGTCTCATAATCACAAATCCTAATAAGGACAAACGTGATCTTTCTCTTAGTATTTAGGTATGAACACAAAGCCGACAATGCAAGTCGAGGATAAAAAAAACCATCACCAAGAGACTTTAAAGCAATCGTCTTGGTGATTCCACTGTAGAAACATGAATGGGTAGAAACGGAGACTGCAGTATGACTGCTCATCAGTTTGTTACCTGTTGAAGTTCAGCAGTGGCTGCTTCACCATAACTGATGGCTCACTTTATCATGGTGCTGGGCTTAAGTCAGCATTCACTCAGCTTTAGCATCACTCTGAGTTCCTCTTAGCTTAGCGTTAGCATGCTGTGCTTGCGGAATGTTGAAGTTGCGTTAACAGTATAAGGCAGTTGTTTCTGTCCCAGTCTCCACTTTACCATTGCGCTCTCATCCTTTTATGCAATAAAAATAAAAGAAATGTCCATATTCACGTCGTAAACTGCACTACTGTTTTCCTCCTCTTACACATAAACTAAATCAGCTGAATGTAGCAAGAGTGCAAGAACGGATAAGCAGGGTCGATAGGCAGGCAGACTAACGATTTGAAGGAAGTAGACTACTGGGGACCAGTTTTTGACAAGAACCAGTTCTCGATTCCCATCCCTAAATAGCACAGAAGCACAGAGCGGTACACTAGATTCACACCTACTTATAAAAATATGGAAGATGGTGTGCTTGCAAAGGCCACTGTATTTTACCTCTTCCTGGAGCTGCACAGAGTCCAAACATGTTCCAGGGTTGAGGAAACTTTTATTTTCCTTCTGTTTTGTTTTTCAACCCAGTGTCACATTTGGTGAAAAATCCAGACTGCAATATTGCCTAAAGCTCTCTGTGCTGCACAGACCACAGCGGTCATACTTACCAAATGTGCTTGAAAATCCTAGAGCTACTTTTAAGTCTGAGAACTCAATGTGATGCACTTCCCTTTGAGGTTTTTTTTTTAAAGCATTTCCACATTATGTTTTTGTTGGTACACTATGATCTTGTTGAGACTTAACGATTACCCTTTAACTGTCGTTTTTAAACATACAACATCAGAGTTTTGTTGCCTTATCAGTTTCTCCCTGTGGGAGTCCTTTATATTCTTTTCCCTTCATTCCACCTCTCTTTTCTCTAACCTTTTGGACTATGTTCAGCTGCTGCTGTTGATAAGAATGCTCACTGGTAGGCTGTGTCTTGTCCTTTTTGTTTTTTGTTTTCTTCCCCTTTCTTTCAATATAAGTGTCCAGTCCAATCACTACCAGATACAGCCATTGTTCTGCTTTATTGCTAAGCTTGAACCAGAGTGGTTCTGACAACTGTCAAACCTTACATATCCCCCCAAAATCACTTTTTAGCAGTTGTTTGAAACTGTCTTAACGCCACTGAAAAGCTGCACTATGTAATCCATTGTCAACGTCCTTGCCCATATTTCCACTACTACCTACCTTTAAGAAATCAATGGTAGTTTGTCTTGGTACAAAAAGACAGAGATAACACTAACATCAGTTTCCCTTTGTATGAAGTTTGCTTAGTCATTCATGTAGACTTTCCCAAACTTCTTTTGAATGTCCATCTTTGCCTGTTGGTCAGAAATATTCATTACAACAAAAGCCCGATGATTCTCACTTCATTCAAAAAATAAAAGAGGAAGAAATCATTAAGGACAGCCTTTCTTAGCTACTCAGGATGAGTGATGTGCCTGTGACTATGAACTGTTGCTGTCTTGACTCCACATTTGATTCCACCAGGTTGACTCAAGAATGTGACTCAGATCGAGTAACCTAAGACACAATGGATCATGGAGACTGAGGAACAAAACAAAAAAGTCTGTCACTCCACTCTGTCTGCACATACTGCAGTGTGCGCGATCAACTCAGTCATGCGCTCTCTCACAAGTCTGGGCCGATGCCTAAGGTAAAAGAGGCTCTCCCCCTTGTTACAGCAGGGGTTAGTGCTGCCACTTTGCTCTGTATACGATGCTTGTGTATCATAATGTAGCTGCTCCTTACCCTGTCTCCCTCAGAAAACATAATCTGCTTTAACAGAAAAAAATCATCCTGTAATGTTCTCTAGTCTTGTGCACTGTGGAAGAAAAAAAGCTTCTATTTGAGATTTTTAGCTTCCTGCCTATTAATGACAAGAGTTATTGGTGTCAGTGTTTCACAGAACTACCAGAGTCCTCAGCAGTAAGCCTCAAACCCAAAGACTGTACAGTGATCTTGGGAAAACCTTGAGTCAGTTTGATTTTACTCAAACCATACCAAAAGGGGAAGCACGTAACGAAAGTATTTTAAATTCCCCAATATTTGAAATCAAGGGAACTTAACATATTTTCACAAATATGTCCAGCAGAAATTCCAGTAAATGTGAGTAAGGCTTGGGAAAAGAATGAAACTAACCTCTTCCAACCAGGTGACCAGATGGTTTATATGGGCAAGAATATGACATAGCTGAAAACCTTTAGCTGTAAAGAAAACTAAACTGTTAGCCACACTGACAACATAGCCACTCATCACATTGTCTAACCTTAATTTATGTACACGGCCTGGGAAACCAATGCAGCATAGTTCAATCTTACAGGAAAATTAAGTTGGCAGCGTAGTAACCGAGGAAAAATACAGCAAGTATGTGTACTGTCAGAGTCAGTCTGTCCTCCATTTTAGAGCTGCCATTTCAGATTTTCCTGCAGAACTTTCCACAGTTAATTAAACTTTTCATCGTATGAAGGGTGGTGAATGCCTTTGTTGTACAACAGCCAGTTCTCTCTTAGGAAAGACCTAATTGGTCAGTCTCTAGTCATGGGCTAAAGCCTAAAAAGAGAGCTGAGAGAAGTTGCACAAGTCTAGTTTTGTCTTGGACAACATCAAATTAAAACATGCAGAAAGGTTATTGTGGAAGCTTACAGAAAAATGTCTGCTTAACTTTGCTACTTTAATAAAATTCAGTAGCCTGTCAAGGAAGCCACCAGACTTAAAGCAAATTGCTCCAGCCTACTATTGTTCAGTCTGAAGGATTCATATTCTGAAATGGGCACGGTACACCAGCCCTGATCTTTGCTCATGTTAGACAGTGGAGTTTCTAAATTTTATTAAAGAGGATGACACCAAATGAAATCATGGAGGTTTTTAGCTGTGGTGAAAGTTTCAGTAGTAATGCAGAAGTGAAAGCTGTTCTGGTCATTTATAAAGAAAACGTAATGTCTGATGCCTAACCCAAACAGAGATTTAGGTTATGTTTGACTGAGGTCATGGTGAGATAAATTAGGATTTACAAAATGAAATTAGAACAAGTACACTGAAGAGTTTAACTCTGATTGCAAAGTGGAAACAGAAATGTGTTGGACATGTTTGTGAAAATACGAGTCAGCACTGCATATGAACCCATTGGAGACGTGCAAGGCTTATAAATGGCTGCCCTGTGAATTGAACTGACTCATATTATTTTGGCAAACTGAAACATCACGATGCCAGTTCTGGATGCTCAAGGGACAAAAAAAAATCCTAATTGGGCATAGAGTCCTGTTCTGTAAGGCCATGTATTCAATTGCACCAAATCTAAAATGGCTGCCAACAGACAGCTCTTTAAAAAAAAAGAGAAAAAAAAATGTCCACGTAACCTTTACTCAAGCCGTTCTGGGGAAAATCACCGAACAGTGCTCTGCTGAAGGAAGCTCATGCTGTATCTTATCTCTGTGCCCTGTGAGAGCCCTGGTGTGCGTTTGTCAAGACGGAGCAGAGATAGATAGGGCAGTTCAGTCCAATGCTGGCCCATAGCATTTGAACAGACCTCAAATACTCTTTCTTGTCACCATTCATCATCTCTTAGGTCATTTTCAGTGAAGTATCTCAATTACATTCTGACAATGACAACTGCTGTTACAAATGTCTTAAAGGTGTTTGCACATTCAGCTCAGTAGTGTTTTTGTGTCTAAATGGGGTGCTTGTGAAGGCCCTTCCTTGGTTTAATGGGCACTGTTGATTAACGGTGCGGCACAAAAAAAGGGCCGGAAGGTAAGGTTAAGAGATTTGGTCAAGGTAAGGGTAATCCAAGTATCCCATTTAGATTTTACCTTGTTATAGTTCAGAGCAGTAAATGCATTTCTGAGCTGATTAATTTGCCAATACAAACTATTGGCCTTACTGAAGCCTCATTAAAACTAAGAAGTGACTGCTGTGCCATGCCTGCTTGATGTTGGGGGAGGAACAGTCCATTTAACCACTCTGCAACCCACTTGTGCTTGTCTGTTTCTCTCCTTTGTCTGTGTTCGCAGTTCTAAACAGAGCACCCTGTGTGTCAGGAAAACTATATCCTCACACACAAAGAGAAGGAGAGAATGAACAGTAAATATTCAAACTACACAAAACGGTACAGAGGATTTATGTTTTGTTTTTTTTTAAAACTATAGGGAAAAAGTTCTTCAGGCAGACACAGATATTTTGCCTGTCTCTCAATACCCCCCTAACTCTCCACTCTCTTGGTCAGTTGTTCAACAGAAAAACGGATCGATAAAGAGTTGAAGCTCTCCGTGCCAAGTGAGTCCTCGTAAATGGGTACTTAAACTTTTTCTCTTTTCCCCCCTCCCTCCTTTTGGTGGGGTGAGATGAGGAGCCAAACGGACTTGGTGTTTAAAGTGAGAAAATGAAAGCTGTGGTTCCTAATGTCCTGTCTAAGTGGATGTCTCTATGTGTGATGAAGCGTGAAGTGCTCTGTAACCCTAACAAAATGACTATCACTGTGTTCCTGTGCTTTTAAATGGCCTCCTCCTCACTGTCACTATCTCTGCCTCCATCCTCCTCAGTATGAAATGGGAAGGCAAAATGGAGGACATCCATAAATAGAGTAATTGCATGAAGGGCAGGTGTTTATTGTACCCTCAGCCCTCACACACACTATAATGATCCAAAAAGGTCAAATTGTTAATGGTGCTTGAACTTCATATTTTCCTCTGTCCATACTGAATATTGTATAAAGTTAGATTATGTGTAGTCTGTTCTATCTTCTATGATAGTTCACACCTCAAAATACAAAAATGCTCAAACTGCAAATTTATCCATGTGCTTGCCACAACGATAGATACGTAATCTTTTTTTATATAACTTCATTAAATCACAATGGACTCCTGCTAGTGATCAACAAGTGTGAGTTTCGAAGTCAACACAAATCTGTTGGGGTGAAAAACTGTAGCTTATTGTGTTGAAAACGTATGTGACTCGGACTGCAGCGGGTTTCCTTCAGGATTTCTCAGGAGTTTTGCTGCATTCAATTTACCCTCTACCTTCACAAGCTGCTGCAGCGAAGCCTCCACACAGCATGACGCAGCCACCATCACACTTGTGGGGATAATGTGTTTGTAGTGGTGAGGAGTTACTGACTTGTGAAAGCAGTGGGCAGAATTCATAAAATAAGCCTAATTCCACGTGGATCCTCCTCCACTTTTGTAATGCCAGCTTCCTCTATAGTAGCCCGCTGGTTTTATAGGTAGTGTTTCCATGTCAGCTTTAGGATTGTGTAGACTTCCTGTAGACGTCTTGGTGCTCTTCTTCACTAAATGTTGCACAAGTACAGTGTGCTCTATAGAGATGAGCAATTTTTTTTCATGATATTAAACTGATGAGTCATGTAACTTAGCTTTTCTCTAAGTAATACTTTAGAGTGACAAATCACTCAAGTGTTTGTAATGCATTTATGGTACTAGCCTAACTTTTTTTAATATTAAATGAACATATGAAGGGAATGAATAGTT